AATAGTAATCAAAACTGCATGGTACTAGCATAAAAATAGACTCATCAACCAATGAGACAGGACAGAGGACCCACTAATGAAGTCACGTGTTTTTGACAGGAAGGCCAAGCATACACACTGCGGAAAGGATAGTATCTTCCCAGAAAAATGAAAATCCACATGCAGAAGAACAAAAGTGCACCCTATGTCAGACCACATCGAAAAACCAACTCAAAACGGACTAAAGACTCAGTCATAACGTCGGAAATAGAGAACTTCTTAAGAAAACAGGGGAGAACTACCCAGCAGTGGGCTGGGGAAAGACTTTTTCTTTCTTTCTGTTTTTTTTTTTAGATTTGACCCCAAATGTGCAAGCAACAAATGCAAATGTAGGCAAATGGGATTACTTCAAAATAGAAGGTTTCTGTACAGCAAAGAGAACGATCAACAGTGTGAGGAGACAACCCACAGACTGGAGTCGGTGTCTGCACACCGTGTACGGTTAAGGGATTAATGTCCAACATACACTAGGTCCTCAGGCCACTCTGGAGAAAGAAAATAATCTGATCAAAAATGTCAAGGGACTGAGCAGACTTTTCTCAAAAGACACACAGGGGCTAAGATGTACGAAACGTTGGACACCACCATCCCACCCACACCTCAGAGCGGCTCCTGGGAACGCAGCTGCGTGAGCTTTCCTCGCGGATCTCCTCGGCCTGTGCCTACAGCTGAGGTGCGCAGGTGAAGAAGGGGAGCCCTGTGCACTGGGGCGGCTAGGTGAAGAGTCCAGCCATGCGGAAGACTGCACGGAGGTCTCCCACGACACCGAAGATGGACTCGCCCTGTGATCCAGCAACCTTCCTCTGGGTATGTACCCCCCAGAATGTGAGGCCGATTTCTTGAAGATGTTTATCTACATCAAACGAGCATTTTGGTGTCTATTTACATCAAGTGTTCAGTGCAGCACTGCACAGTAGCCAGGTTATGGCATCCCCATGTATCCATCAAGGGAGGATGGATAAAGAAACCAAGCCATAGCACACAAGGGATACTATTGAGCCTTTAAAAGGAAGGAAATGATGTCATTCATGACAATGTGGATGGGACTGGAGAACATTATGCTTAGAGAAATAAGCCAGGCACAGGAAGACAAGTACCACAGCTTCTCCTTGCAAATGGAGGCTAAAACAGTCACCTCACCAGAGCACAGAGTCAAATGATGTTACCAGAGACCGCGGGGAGGGGAACAGAAGTGCTCAATTAGCAGAAATAATCAGCAGATTTTAGCTTTGAGAGAGCTCGCATAGCATGCCAAATAGATTAGATATTAGAGTACAGTATCACACATTCCAAAGTCACTGGGAGTACATCTCAAATATCCCATTACGGAGATGTTTAGTATTTTGGAGATGGATATGCTAATTACCTTGACTTAATTATTCCACATTGTATGCACAAATCATAACACTGCTTTGTACTCCATAAATACATACAACT